TGGCCATGGCCAGAAGCATCCTCTGCACTAGGCAAATCTTCAGTAAAGATAACATCTGGATTTCACACAAGCTGTGCTGAGCATGTGCAAACACAGAGCAGTGATTTACAGCTAGGTCAGATCTGGCTGGATTTTCATATGGCCAGCAAGTACAGGCTGATCCCCCCAGGGATCAGCCTCTGCTAATTTCAAGCCCCTGCATGAAGCACTGAACTGCAGTGAAACCACTGTAAGACATTTTCAGCATGGGCCAACCACCGTATTTTTCACTAACCTCATTCTTGGAAGTTACCAACTGGCTTTCAGTGAAATGTTCCCAAAAAAAATCAGCCCAAAACAGAGACCAAGGATGGAAAATTTCAGCCTAGAATGATTAAAATATGGCAAAATTAAAAGCAACTGAAAACTGGATCTTATAATCGAAAGTGTTAGGCAATGTTAAATATAAGATTTGTTGCCGTCTCCACCCATAATAGAGGGATGGCTATTTAAATATTTGATTTTGGGAAAACTTTCTTGCATGACTGGCATGCAAGGAAAAAGCCTTTTCCTTCCAAACATGGGGCATATGCCCAAGACAGACATCTGATAAGGAAAACCAGTGGTGACTGTATGCAAACTATTATGTGATCTGAGTTATTTACATTGCTTAGGGTTCACCAGATTCTTCACCGAAGTGTTGTAAAGTCCCAGACTGAAACCACCGCTAGTGGATGCATCAGTGATATAGATGTCAGCTTGACCCACAGCAATTTGCCATCTGTGAAAAGCAAACAAATGTAACCAACTGGAGTAATGAGCATTGTGATTGTAACAGGAACTCGAGCACAGATTTAAACAGGATCTTTGGGTTTGGACTCACGAACATTTGACTATGTTAGTATTGAAAAGTAAGCAACTGCAAAACCCCAGCTGTGCAAATCTGTGCAAAAATGAAGCTTTGGCTGTTGACTGCTTGGCACTCTACCTGCAAGGCTGGACCAGATGTGTGAGTATTTCCTATATTATTTTCTTCACTTCTCAAAAGAAGGCAACAAGGTTTCCAGCAAAGTTTTTAGAGAGTCTTTTAAATCTTTTATTGTACACCAATGAAAGAGCGCCAGAACTTTAAAACTTGTCCACTTTTTTTCAAGTATATAGCAGGAGCTCCAATAAAAAGTATTATCTCTGTGGCAAATTTTGATTTCTTTAGAACTTTAGAGCTTCACAGCTAAATCAGAAGTCTAAGTAGTATCAGAGAAAACACTACTTATGGGACAAAAAGTCATTGCTACTTTGAATTGAGTCCATTGCTGAAGGAAGAGAATGTATCTAGATGCAAAGTACAGTCTCTTAAAAGCCACAGCACAAAAGCAGAGATTTTCTTCCCCCTCTCCTGATCCAAAGTACAGGCAATTTTTAATTCATGTAAAATTATGATAACCATGAAACCATAAACTTCATGGTTTGGTGAGCTGGCTGCAATGTGCATCCCTAAAGTAGGAGTGTACTGAGATCAGCATAATGAGAAATACGACAGAGGATACTGCAAATAACTTGTAGGCTGAAGTGAAGATCAGGCCAGATCAGATGTAGCTACATTTACTGCTATGCTGTGCCCCAGAAAATGTTAAGAATAAAACACAGGGAATGAAGATTTCCAAACGTATTAGCAGGCACTCTTGTGATGTGATCGTATCAGTTCTAAGGCCACAGTGCCTGGCAGGCCATCAAGGACTGATTTCTTTTCTGGTTGTTGTTACCAACATAGATTGATATATATGACCCAAAGCTGACATCTAGCGGAGGCAGAATGAGTGCAGGATTTTCCCTCCCTTCCCAAAGGATGCATTCCGTTGTGTGCAGACAGAGATGGCACTTTGCTCTTCTCTTCAGAAGTGACCTGAAAGCTGTCTGCTGAACGGGTTGTCCTGGGCAGGAAAACGAACCAAGCTCAGCTCACAGGCTCTCTGGCTAAGTGTGCACACCTTGTCTTGTTTGTGACACACGTATCCATAGCCAGATGCCAGAAGCTAGCTTCACAGTGCTGTTGGCAGATAATGAGCTCTGAAGGCTGAATTTAAAAAAGTTTCAGAAGACAATGGTATAGATGATCACGCCTGGTAGAGTTTGGGCAACGTCTTGTGAATATATTTAAGAGAAGAATAGATGTTCACCACAGCTGCACAGTTGGTGTCAGCGACCTAGGATTTCTACTGTCAGGAAGGCCATATCTGCAGTCCTGGATCAGACCAGCCTCTTGGACACCAGGTCCCAACGTTGCAGCTCTGTTCAGCTTCCAGCTCTTCCCCATTCGTTCGGCTCACTTACTGCCCCAGAGGGACTGCTTGGGCTGGGAGGGCAACATTACTGGTAAAAGTTTGGGAATGTTTTCACAAGTTTCTGCCTCATCCTCTGCACCTGGTATCACATGTTTATGATATCTCAATTTTTAGTTAGTAAAAATCAAAGTTTCAAGCTCTCTTGCTTGCATGGAAAAATTGAAAACATGAACCCTAAAGACTTAAAAAACCAAAAGACAAGTAAAACTGTCCAGTGTTTACTTTTCATGTCTCACAACTTTAAGTTAATATCATAAATCTGTTGGCACCTCAGTCCTGATTTGTAATGCTTAGCAGGGGAGACAGAGGGAAGAACAGAGAAGTCCCACCAGGTCCAAGCACAGAAAAGAGAGAGGACCAGTGGTCCTCCTGGGAGATGGCTGCGGAGGGGGGAGCCAAAGGAGGGAATCTGCAAGCCCAGTGGGACAGCAACCAGATCATGAGAGCACTCATAGCCCTTTAAAAATGGCAGAAAACAAAAGATACTTTACTTGTTCATATACAGTAGGAAGCAAAAAACATCTCCGACATGGTGGTGAAGATCCAAGGCTCTGTAGCTGTGGGCTGTAACAAATCACACTGTCTGGGGATCACCATTTTGGTGGGATTTGTAGTACATTCAGCAGCAAGTTACCAACAGTTTAGCTATTCAGTCAAAACCCCTGAAATACTGCTGCTTCCCTACATGAATGCACGGCCTTCAGCCACTGCCGAAGAGCACAGCTCCAGTGCTGTGTCCCAAGCAATCACACTGCTGACAAGGTGATGCATGGTTTTGGAAGGAACTTTTAATCACCTGATAGCAAAACAAAGTTAGTGTTATACAAACAGTACAAAGTTTACTGCAGGATTGAGCTTTAATCTCTCGTGGTTGCTTATTGACTCCAGAAAAACCAGCAGCTACTCAGTGAGAACTCCTCTACATCCTGTTTGCAGGCGAACCTGAAGGAGAGGATTTCTCCTCCTGCAGCTCTCCCTGAAAACCAAAGTAAGTCTGAGCTGAGGTCCGAATTGGGACACAATGAGGACTGGGCCTGGGTTGTTTAAAATTCCCATTTATTCTGCCATGAGAGGACTTGGTTTATCTTTTTGTGCTTCCTGGCTTTGACCTTTCTAACAGTTGGAAAAGCAGAAGTCGTGATACATGGTTTATGGTATATTGCAATGTATGATATATGAAGACTTGTGCTATCAATCAGCAGTGCTTGATGTCTTGAAGGCATACAGAGAGGGCTTGGGATACTTTTACCACCTGCTACCTAATGCCTGTCAGAGGAGACAAAACAACACTGAAGAAATCAGTCACATTTCTTCTTCATCTTCCAATGAGTTCCTCATCTTGGGCTCTTTCCTAGCAGACAATTACGAGTCCTAATTTTCAAGTGCATATACAGGCACCTCCGAGTCAGTGAGACTTATCCATGTCTGCAGTTTGACAGGTTGGATCTGTTTACATACCCTATGTTTTATCTGTGTCAGAAGTGTACAACATTAGACACATGGGACTGGATTTGGTGAAGCTTGCAACCCCTGCTAATCTGCTGTGAGAGGCTAATCCTGAAAGCCAGGATATTTACTTCTTCCTATACATTTTTAGAAAAATTAGACCCAAACCACAGCTGGTTTAAAACTTCATGTTTTCATATATCTTGCAAAATGCCTATTTTAATCAGAGCTGCGGAAGTAACTGCAACAAATGATTTAGCAAATTGATTTTGTCTGTGTTTTGTACATGTTTCCTTGCACATGGGCATGGCTTGCTAAAACATTAATTTCCATAGCTTTTAGTCCCGGTTAGTTCAAAAGCATGTAAGTGCTGGCGTTTGCTAGGCAGCATTTATGTTGGTTTGATTAGATATCTGGGTCACACAACGTCACTTCTGTTCCCTGAAAGATTGAGGGTAGTTCTTAGAATCATGTTTCATGTTGTGGAATTTGCTTTTTGCCAGTGTGTTCTTATAGTTTCTCCAAATTTTGTATGTGCCTTCTTTAGCATGTATCAGTGCTGCAGTATGTAATGCAAACACCCAGAAGATATTTGTTACAAAAGAGAAATGAAGATCTGTAGAAAATAATTTGGTTTGCCGCAGTGCTGGCCTCGACAGTGACTTGCACTCAGAGTCTGGACATAGTTTTACAATGCGTTCATGCTGGAGCAGGTTAGATGTAGATTCCGTATTTACTTGCTTCCAGATTTTATAAGCTTGAATTTAGTCACTGCACTCCGTAACTAATTGTTCAGTCAGTGAGCCGTCCTAAGGGGTAATCCAGTAAATGATGTTTTGGGACAACCTTTGAGGAGAATTAGTGGAACAAATAACTCAGCTAGTTTTAAGATGGAATTCATGACAGAATTACACAATTGCTGTGTCTTAAAATAGCAGAGGACCTAAAATGTCCTCTTCAGGCTTCTGTTTAAGACAGAATAAGGAGAGGCACAGAGATGCAAGCTTCTCCCTACTCTTATGGCTGCATCTGCAAGTTTTACTCATACTAGAGGCGAGGACGAATGGCAAGATAGACTGAGACAACCTCCCAGCAACTCTTTTACAGGACAGATGGGTCCACGGTTTGCATTAAGTGACATTAGAGCCCCTGGAAGAGAGAATGACATTTCAGGGATCTAATTTCCACTCCATGTTATTCTTTTCTTCAGGGTTCCCAGAGCCTCTCTCAGCAATGGCTATGGTGTGTCTTTCAGACTTCGAAGCTTATGCTAAAAAGTATTTACCCAAGATTGCTTGGGATTTTTTTGCAGCTGGAGCAGATGACTGTAGCACTCGAGATGAAAACATCCTGGCATATAAAAGGTAATGTGAGGAGGAATGAGAGGTGTCATACCGGAAGTTTTTAAATTATGTTTTTGTGCAAGTCTTTGGACTTCACAAGAAAAGATTCCTTACACCTTGCCCTTTCAAGGTGGTCCCCAAGCAAAATGCACTTACCTGAATGACATACGCTGTATGCTCTGATGCTAGCCTGAGTATGACACAGATTGTATGACGCATAAGGGATGCTGAGGGTCCAGGGAAATGGTAGGGTAGGGTAGGGTAGGGTATGACATGACAGGAAAGGGCGTGAGTGGCTATAATAGAATGAGATGCAATAGGGAACATGTGGTGAACAGCAGGAAACCTACATGTAAGTAGTATGGGACTTGGAGAACATGCTGGGGCAAGCACAATGTAGAGTGAGGACAGACAGACAGACGAATGGTGGAGTGGAAGGCAGCGACCTGGGACTGGGCTGCATGTAGAAGAAATCTGTGGGATGGACAGTGGGAGCACAAGAGCCGGTGAGCTGAGGTGGGAAATGCAGAAACGCATTTCCCAGAAAGCAGGAGTATGGGATTAATGAAAAGTGGAAGTGGCTGAACTGGTGGCTGAATTGACCTCTAAACAGAAAGGACAAAGAGCCTTTGTTATACGCTGTTTTCTTTATTGGCTCAGATTCCTGCATTGCAATAGGTAAATGAAGACCTGGTTTCCATGAGACTTCAGAAAAGCCACTGAAGAGCTACCATCCAGAAGGGTTTTTTTGCCTTACAGAATTCATTTCCGGCCACGTATGCTGCAGGATGTGTCCATGATGGACATTAGGACTAAGCTCCTGGGGACTGAAATCAGCTTTCCTGTAGGAATCGCCCCTACTGGCTTCCACCAGCTAGCATGGCCTGATGGAGAGAAAAGCACAGCCAGAGGTACTCTCCTGCTTTGTTGCTGTGTAGCAAAAAGGAGCTTGTGGAAAATCCTCAAGAAGCTGTTAGGATGACTTGAATTGTGACTGAGCAAAATCTTCAGGCTTAAAGGGGCAAACTCCTTTCCCACTTTCTGACACCCCTTTTTGTGAATTATCCACTTGGGTCTGGTGACACAGAGCGTGTGGGAAGCAATATAGAGATTGCTCTACTTCTCCAGCTACTACTAGTACAAGATCAGCTCAGTGGAGGCTGCTACAAACTTAAGACAGAGACTGTAGACACATTTCTGTCTTACACCAAGGACCACTCAGGTCCTCAGTGCTGTGGGCTCTAGATAGGAAATAAAAGTGGTGGACAGGACTCAGCCTGTAAATTCCTTGTTACTAGTAAGAACAGTGTCTCCCTTGGAGGAAAGCATAACCTCTCTTTCCAAATCCTGTGGTGGATTTGCAGAGCTGATCCTTCTTCTTTTCCTGTGTGTGTTTCTGTGTGCACTGAGTGCAATTAACAGAGCATTCCTGTGAGGACATAGTCATAAAGTTCATGCTTTTTAAAAAAAAAATAGTTGCGAAATGAAAGTGTCACTTGGTAAATTACCTCTCCCTTTCCTGATTTCTTAACCATGGTCCTACAACAGTGCACAGTAAACATAGCCATTTTTAACTCCAGGGGCATATTTGCCAATTGGTAGAGGGCAGTGTTTGGTAGAATACAAGTAAAACAGGAGTTCAGGTGCTCTCTACAAACTGCATATAAAAAATTTTTTACCTGGTGTCTGCCAGGACTGTTCAAATGCCCTTGATTCTGATTATTTTCCAATACCTCCCAAAGCGGCCAAAGCAATGAACACCTGTTACATTGCCAGCACGTACTCCACCTGCACGCTGGAGGAGATCTCTGCAGCCGCCCCCGGCGGGCTCCGCTGGTTCCAGCTCTACATCCACCGCAACAGGGCGGTTTCCCAGCAGCTGGTCCAACGAGCAGTGGCCTCGGGTTTCCAGGGCCTTGTCCTCACCGCAGATCTGCCCTACACCGGCAAAAGACGCGATGATGTCCGCAATGGTTTCCGCCTTCCTCCCCACATGAAATTGAAGAACTTGGAAGGAGCCTTTGAGGTTTGTAAAATGAGCCCATCCTTTCATTTGCTGCGCTGGCATGTACCACATAAGACAAAAACCACTGGGTAACTGTTGTTTTGGCATCTGCTGTACTCAGGGTGTATCTTCGCCCCTTCTAGTTGTGCAGCGTCCTGGCTTGACCTCCTGCCAGCCTGGGTTCTGGCTTCAAAATCCCAGCCCAACTTCCTTAGAGACACTGATCTCCATTGCCATTATAATTATGCTCCTCCAGAGACATATGCTTTCCAGAGCTGATGAACATGTCTGTTAGTAAGTTTAATTAATCTCTTCTAGGGCAGGGAAAGACTCCAAGGGGCCTCTACATTGTTACAGCTCAGATGAGGTTTTCTTCCATCCTATGGCTATAGGGAGATGACTGTTCTGAGTATGGACTGCCACCCAACAGCTTGGATCCTTCGGTCACTTGGAATGATATCTACTGGCTGCGAAGCCTGACCCACCTGCCCATCATCATCAAAGGCATCTTGACGAAAGAAGATGCAGAGCTGGCAGTGAGACATGGAGTTCAGGGAATTATTGTGTCCAATCATGGTGGAAGGCAACTGGATGGAGGACCTGCAACGGTAAGTGAGAAAATGGATGTCCCGTGAGTGTTTATCGTACGCACATTTGCTCTAACCTGGGCATCTCTGTGCTTGCCTTTGTATATATGCTTCTGGTGGACTTGTGTGTTTGTTGCATGGCTGTGGATGTGTGCAGAGGTACGTTAGCTTTAAACTGGTAAGATGCATGCCTTGGCATGGGCTACCCACCCAAGTATTTTCTCAGCACTGAACCCACATTACTGCAGATAAACTACTGGCTCAAATTAATAAAAGTTTTCTGCCTATGTCTTCATTAGCTGGTGCAGCGCACACATATTCTTATGCACTGCAGCAAAAATAAAACAAAGCTCTGGAACCAAAAATCTACAAATGAGAGCATAATGTATTCTCATTGTTCACATCTGCCAAAACATGCACAAACAATGCAGCTAGATTTAGTGAGAGGTCTGCTTGCGTATTTATGGGCTCAAGTCTAAACAGGAATTTATTGACTTTCATGAGCCAGAAAAAGGATAACTTATCTGGAGAAAAATTCCCCCACTTTTTAATCTGTACAAAGAAATTGTGGGTTGTTCAGATGTTTGGTGTATTTCAGTGCTTTAATTTGGCTTCTGTCAATTTTTCCAATTGTTCTTATTTTACAGTTCTGTATTGCATAGTATCTTGCAGACTTTGTTTTCTCTGTTTTCCTCTGTAAAATAAAAATAGGCACTAGGGAATTATCTTCTCTTCTCTCTTCTCTTCTCTTCTCTTCTCTTCTCTTCTCTTCTCTTCTCTTCTCTTCTCTTCTCTTCTCTTCTCTTCTCTTCTCTTCTCTTCTCTTCTCTTCTCTTCTCTTCCCTTCCCTTCTTCTCCCCTCCTCTCCTCTCCTCTCCTCTCCTCTCCTCTCCTCTCCATGTCAAGACTGAGAATAATGAATTAAAAAACTATCTAAATGCTAAAGACATAATAACGGAAATGGCATCCACATTAATTTGCTCTTCTACCTTAGAAGCTTCTTTCCATACACAGCCAAACCAGTAGATACCTAGTGCAGCTCTGCTCCTCCTCTGGTACCAAGCCTGGCAGCAGAAGCTATTGTCATTGCTCTTGGTCAGCTACTCCTGGAAAATTTCAGCTGGAAAGTTTTCAGCTTGAAATTCTGTAAAAAATATGACCAATTGGAAAAATCTACTTAAGCAATCTTAATTATAGCTTCTCTACCTAAAAAAAAAAAAAAGCAGCAAAAGAGTATAAGATACTGCAGAAAAGAGACCTTTGGTTTTGCTGTCAAGGAGAGTTAATTAGGTCTAGTGCAATGTCCTGCTGCTGGTTATACTGCCCGAGCCAGCATCTCTGCGTGGCACTGCCCTGCGCTACCAGCCTGGTACCGGGCTGTGCTCTGCAGAAAAGACCTGAGGGAGTCAGGAGGCTTAGACTGGAGGAAACGATACATTGATTGTACTACGTAGCAAACGAAATCCTTCACAGATGCGGTAAGGGGTTTGAAGAGGCTATCGATAGGTGGTCACCAGGATTAGGTTGAAATGTAAGATCAAGCAATTTGGACAGTAGCAGGGAGAAGTTTGACATCAGCCTTTTTTACAAACATTTGTATAATTCATTCATTATCTCTAATGAAAGTAAGATATTAATGACAATTATTTCCATTGAAATTTATTTTAAAAATCTTTCAGAAGGCAAGTGAAAATGTTACTTTTTCATTTATCAGAAGTGCTAACAAAGAATATCAGTATAACCAAAGCACTGGAAGATGGAATTAACTATCTGGCAAACAGAACAGGGAGCTGCACTTCATTCTGCAGCATTTGGTGCCGAGCTATTTGTGATGCATTGTACATTTCATTTCAAGAAGGTATGCTATTAAAGCATTGCATCCCTGCCTGTCTCTTTGGAGGATCTCCTCTTTCTCTTGGAATCAAAAGCTGACCCCAAGGTGAGAGTGGCTGCTTCTTTGCAGATCGATGCTCTGGTTGAGGTTGTGGAGGCAGTACAAGGCAGAGTTGAAGTTTATTTAGATGGTGGAATACGAAAAGGAAGCGACGTATTAAAAGCACTGGCACTGGGAGCAAAATGCGTCTTTATTGGAAGACCAGCTTTATGGGGTCTGGCTTACAAGGTGAGTAAGGAGCTTTGAGTTTGTATGTCTACTTCTCATACTCTCCAACACTCTGCTGTTATTTAAAAGTTATAGAGACAGTTTGCACCAGTGAAGGATCTTAACCTTTTTGTTTGTTTGTTTTGCTGAATTGTAAGTGGGAACATCCCAAATTGAATCAAAAGCAGACATTTTCTGTGATTTAAAAATACCACTGAATTTTATGACTTCAGATATGATTTTAAAGCTGATAACATTGTTTTGTGGGACCTGATTTCTTGGTGTTGTAATTTGGTGCTAAAATACTGTAGGAGTCAGGACCATCAGTGCTTTTGAAAATTGGAGGTAGGGTTATATGCCACTAAGATGAGTCTGACAATTTTATTTGCTGTCAGCTTACTTGGAAACAGTATATGGGTTTGATAAAGTAGTTTCATAGTGGTGTTATGAATTCTTCAGAAATTGTCCTAGTTTCAGCTGAGAGGGTTAATTTTCTTCATAGTAGCTAGTATGGGGATATGTTTTGGATTTGTGCTGGAAACAGTGTTGATAATATAGAGATGTATTTCTTATATGGATCTATTGTTGAGCAGTGCTTACACAGAGCCAAGGCCTTTTCTGCTTCTCGCACTGCCCTGCCAGCGGGATGGCTGCGTGGTGCTCAGCTGCCGGCTGGGGTAAAACCACAACAGAAATACATATAGAACTCCATCCACAGATGTCTCAAACATTTTGGACAAAACTGAGCACAACTGTGTCCTGTAGGTGCCTGAGTGTGCCACTACTATCTCCGTTCTAGCTTTGGTGCTTCTTAACTACTAGCATATTTCTATGATCTAGAGTAATGAATTAGGCCTCTAATGCGGAAGGTTAGCATAATATAATTAAAATTAAAATTTAATTGTACCAGTTATTTGCTTTACTAAATTTTTGCTTTTTAGCCTCTGGATTGGAGCTTTCAAGCTTTTCTCTAAAAGAAAAAAAAAAATAAAAAATTTATGGTCTAGAAACATTTACTATCTTTTAAATAAGGCTCCTGTCCAGTTGTGTGATTGCTGTTTATCAGGGAGTGTAGTGACAGGACAAGGGGTAATGGGTTTAAACTAAAAGAGGGTAGATTAGATATCAGGAAGAAATTCTTCCCTGTGAGGGTGGTGAGGCACTGGAACAGGTTGCCCAGAGAGGTTGTGGATGCTCCATCCCTGGAAGTGTTCAAGGCCAGGCTGGATGGGGCTTTGGGCAACGTGGTCTAGTGGAGGGTGTCCCTGCCCATGGCAGGGGGGTTGGAACTAGGTGGGCTTTAAGGTCCCTTCCAACCCAAACCATTCTGTGATTCTATGAAACAGAGAAAAGGGCCTAACATGAAAAGGGTGTTGCTGTGTGTTGCCTGCATTTTTTCCACAATGCAAACAGAAAGGAGATGGGATTTTTTGAGTTCAGCTGTGCTTTGGTATTATATTCCGTAGCTGTGTCTCAGTGGCATTACGCTAGCATACAAGAGAAGAAGGGCATGAACAAGCACTGACATTGTCTGCACCCAAAGCATTCTTTATTGCAAGAAATAAAAATAAAATTTAGAAGAAAAAAGAAAAAAATCCTCCAATATTTTACAGTAACATCAAAATCATATGTACATTTTACTGGATTTTGAGCTTCTTGGTGCCGCTTGCTCAGAGGGAAACACACAGTGTGTACTATTTTTAAAGATTCAGGTCAGTATCTGAGTAAGCTAAGGTTTTAAAGCTGTACCATATATAAAACTCTCGTTACTTCATAACATACTGTCAGCATTTGTAAGGCTTGACATTTTAAAACAAGCGGATTGGTGGAGACTAACTGAAAGCTAAGAAAAAAAACAGCTAGAAAATGTCAGAAGTGAAAAACAGCTTTGTTTTCTTTTCCTATTCAGATATATCACAAAAAGAAAAGCATCTAAATTAATCTGTGATGAACTGAGCACATCCATCATATCATTTTAATCATTCATCTGTATGAAAGACTGGAATTGGCACGGACTTAAGGGACTGTCCCAGCTCTCACAGTGCAAGCATCCCATGGCATTGCTCTGTGCCAGTGCTCCTTTTACCCTGACTGCTTTCTTTGTTGGAGCAGGGTGAAGAAGGCCTTCAAGAAGTTTTGAGGATTTTGCAGGATGAGTTTCATTTGTCGATGGCGTTAGCTGGTAAGCATTTTGCATGTTGTTTGTAACTGGTGATACAGAGGTTTCTGCATGCAAGCCATCTAAATTCAGAAGTCTGATGGATGGGTCACAAAAAAGGGAATCCATGTGAGCTGTGCTGGTTCCAGTTGCTATATTCAAGGTGATTCTTCGTTTCCTGTGAAACCACTTGGCATTTCAGGTGCCATAGTAATGAATTTTGCGTGGAGGAAGTGGGTTAAAGCAGCTTTCTGACCCAATTAAAGAGATGCAAAACTGCTAAGCAGAGCTCAGCAAAACCTGGAATTTCCGTTCTGCTGGGAATTGCAGCATATGTTTTTCAGTATTTAATTTAATAATTGTCAGGGTAAAATGCAACAATTTTTTTTGCTGCATGAAAAATTTGGAAAAAATGGATGCAGAATTTTTCTCCGTGTATCAGAGAATACAGTCTGTTGGTGCACGTTCAAATCTCTGCATCCCACATGCATTAAAAGACTCCATGTCTCCTCCAAGCTTTTACTGTTGTTCCTCATTCTGCATTTCTCACTTCCACTCCTAGCTATACCTGCCATGTTTGACCCCCTCACTGAAGAGCAAATTTGCACAGCCCAGTGCAAACTCCAGTTTCACACATGAGCAAGTACGACATGCAGATCCCGTGCAGAAGTATTCAGACATCAGCAAAGGGTCTTATCCCACTTCAAATCATGTTTTAAAGATTTTCATGCTCTAGCGACCATGAACTGAAGTGGATAGCAATGCTGACTGGGAGACTGGAACCGAAATCCCATTGGGCACTTCTTCATAGACTGGTTTTTTGGGTTACTTTTTCAACTAGTAAAGATTCCTACAAGGGGTTTTTTTTTTTTCCCCCAGGAGGCTCTCACACTTCTTTACATGCAAAAGGGCACTCAACTTGGCAAGAGTAGCATGTTGGGACCTTTTTGGCAGGGCTGTGAAATTCCACCCAGATTTGACCAAATGATACGGCAATGCAAATCTCCACCTCTGGTCACTTGACACACAGAAGTCACTGTGTGTTTTCTGTCTACCTTTCACGTCTGGCTGGATCAGATGGCTCTCTGCTCAGCTTGTTATAAAGATCCTTTTTTTTTTTACCTTGTTTCTAACTCTTCTTGTGTGGGAAGCCTGGTGCCTAACCTCAAGGCTGAAGATGGTGCCTAACCTCAAGGCTGAAGAAGCCATTGAGGAGTAGGGCTCCCGTGAGTGAGCTGTTGAAGTACCAGCCTATCCCCACATGGCTCATACAAGCCAAGATCATGAGTCAGAGTTGGGGGGAGGGGGCTTCCAAATTTCATCCACAGACCCTTCTCTCTCACTGACATGTTTTATTTCTCTATTTATTTCAGGCTGTGCCAGTGTCTCAGAGATTGGCCGACACCTAGTTCAGTTCTCAAAGCTGTGAACAGCCTCCTGCAACGCGCACCCAACAGAGGCAGCTCACACCAAGGTCCCAACCAGACTGAAGAGAGAAAAAGGAGGTGCAAATGTTGAATGTGCAAAAAGTATCTGATAAGGCCTTCAGGAAACTCCTGAGGAGATTAGGAAAAGCTTCATGTTAGCAAAGGCCATTCTCTGCTTTTATTGAGACCAATGAGTTCTTTAACGCTTTGGGTAATTGTTATTTGCCTAAATACATTTACTTCATACTGCCTGTTCCGTGACATTACCTCTGTTGGGCCTTACTCCCAAGCTCTGCTACATCAGGCAGCCAGACCTGGAAAACTATGTATGTCCCTTGCTTCTTCCACTTGCTTATCTTACCAAGTCTGACTGCAACTCAAGCTGCGCACTTTTCCTGCTCCGGGGCAGTAAGTGTTGTGGCTGTATTTTCCCTAGCTTGGGCTTTTCTGGATGTATTCACAGGAGATAGAGAAACAAGATGCATCAGTTAACAGCCACCCCAGCTACCCTTTATGGTGATGGTGGGGTTCTTGTCCACTTCTTCTATATGCAGAGAAATGAAATCACAAGTGACCAAAGCAACACCCTGCGCTCCCCAAAGAGAGGACCTCTTGCTTCACTACACAGGTAATTTGCACTGCAAATTCATCCAAGCAGTGGTCAGGACCTATGCATTTTCAGAGCACAGCACAAGTTTGTGGCAGTGCATAAATAACTCACCTGGTGCCCTGGTCTTTGCCCATGGATGAGTGTGGCCAGCACTGACTGAGGGAGCAGGCAGGAGCTGCCAGCACCACCTGAGCAGCTCATGGTGTTTGCTCTCAGAAGATGGTGCAGAGGTACCCCCTGCCAGTGTAAGCAGTGTAAACCCTCACTCTCTGAGGTAACAAAAATATATGCTCATCCATTCCCTGTCCAAGTTTCTTCCTGAGACACGAGTCTTGCCTCCCCACCAGGAAGTGCACCCTTCGCTGTGCCACCCACCTGCCATCAGGTGGTGGTGATGAGTGCTTAATAACAACTAGGAGCTCTTCCTTGCTTTCTTTCTCCTACTCCTCTTTCACCTGGATGTTTCCTCTTCTGGAACACTCCTTAGAGAACAATCTTCAGCTGCACCATCTAGTCTTCCTCTTTCTTCCTCATTCCATCTCCTTTCATCACCTCTCTGTCTCCCACCAGCCCCCCCTTCCTTATTATTTTTCTTCAGAAAACATTCAGTCCTGATTAGACTATTATTTTTGTATATCCCACACTATCATGAGCCTCCCAGTGTCATGGACCTTTGGTGGGAGTGCCAGAGAGGGGAGCAAGGAAGTGTGCTGCTGCCCAGAGCTGAGGGAGCTACTGGGGAGCGGAGGTGAGGGCAGCCAGGGTCCCACAGCCAGGGCAGAAGTTGGTTGATGTTGTATTATTTGGAAGTGATGTCCCTTGGGGTTTGTCTGTGTCAACAGGCTGCAGCATGAATGTTTACTCTGAACTACTCTCCCTAGTAGGAGTTTAACAATACTTGTTTTTTAATCTTTATATAATGCTCTCTAAGTAAAGGTGCAAACAGAATTCATCTATTTAAAATGGCTAAGTCCCCTGTGTGCACATTTTGTCTTTGTTATACATGCAGTGTGTAAATCAGTGGGGAATTGGGCCGGTGTAACTGGAAATAAGCTGGATCTCCATGAAGAGTTTAACTGATTTAACTACTCAGGCTTAATCAGGTCTTTTATATGAGGCTAGGTAAACTAGGGCCGTACACTCATGAAAACTGCTAATATGTGCCTCATCTTTAAAATTGCAATGCGATCTTAAAAATATCTGGTAAGACACCTGACCTTGTTTTCTTACAAATATTTTTTTAAGGCCAGACTCACTGGTGCAGCTGTTGCTTTTGTGAATCTTTAGGGCAGCACAAGATGGCTGAGGGATGCTGGGCAATGGGATGCCAAATGTCTCTTTGTGCCAAAGGAGTGCCAACTTGCTCGGCACCTGCTTTTGCTTAGTGCACCTCCCACTCTTCCCATGCACACAAGCCTCCCTTTCTTGTACACTCGCAGTTATTTTCTTCTTGCTCCTCTCTGCTAATCCCCTGGTTCTGCAAGAATGGGAAGGGATGTCATGCAAAGCGGGGCTCAGCTGGAGTGAAGACACTCAAATCCAGAACTGCTGTAGAAGCCTCTCCCACTCAGCTGGTGCCTCACTCTGCAGGATCCAAAAACACCGATGTGCTCTCCCCTGTCCTTTTCTTTAGCATAAATATAAGTACTCCAGGTGATTCAAGTGTGCTTCTCTGAGTAGCACACACCCTCCTGCATCAGTCAGTTAGGCTGGAGAAGCCAGGTATTCTTCTGCCTGGGTGCAGTACCTTGAATACCTGGCAGAAGGCAATCTATCTCAGATGGTGGTTTCCTGCAGACTGCACTACCCTGGACACCAGGCACGGGCATCCCCAAGTGGGGTCACTCTCTCCTCTCCTTGGAGCTCTGGCACTGTTCAGTAAAGGCAGGGAAGAGTGATGCTCCATAGGCTAATGATTGAGGTTGTCCTGCGTATGAGGGTGACAGTGGGGGCATAAGGTCATTTCTTCATCCAGTAATTACTGGGAGGAAAATGCTACAGGAGTCACTGGTGTGTGGGGCCGTGTGGTTGCCTAACCCTGGTTCAGTGGATCTGGAGCACTACATGGCCAAGTTTCAACAAGGAAGTTGCAGATCTCCTCCCATGAAACTGCCTATGAGCTTCTCTGGTCAAGGCTCTCTCCTGGCAGAGAAGAAGTGATGCTCCTTCTGAAGAGGAGAAGGCACATGTGCTCCTCCAACTCCTGCTGAGCACATTGCCCCCTGGCTCCTGGTGTACAAAGGAAAGGGGGGGCGGGGGCAGCAGCAGAACCTCCTTTGCACGTATCTTAGGAGAACCAAATGAGCTATGTTAGGTCCTAAACTTGCTAGAAGAGAGGCTTCCAGCTTATGAAAATGGCAGTGGCTGAAGGTGCCTGCTGGCAGATGTGAGTCATCTGGCTAAGTTGTGGAAAGGAGCAGGCATGCTGCCTCTGGTATCTCTCGGTGACTTCCCACTGAGCATTTGGATTTTTTTAGATCTATTTCTGGATGCTGTAGAAGACCTAGACACCAGGCTTTAGGAGCTCTGTGGGAAGGAAGAGGAAAAAAACCTCACAAAAAGTGCATCATTGCCAGTGACTAACTTGAGGCAGTGAAGCAGTTCCATGGCTCAGGACCTTAATGCTCTTCCATGTGGCAGCCAGCTGCTTCTGTTGCCTCTAGCAGGCACCTGAGTGAGCAGGTTCCTGAATATAGCTGCTGTCTTTTAAAGCTGATGCTGTGAATTGGGAAAGTAGATGGTGAGAGGCTGGGACAACTGCGCTTAAGCTCTGTTTCCATGTGAAAATGAGGTGCTCTGTCTCCCTGATAGATGACCATCAAGGCCTTTGCTCCTTATTCTACACTTCCTTTCACTGAAAGAAATTCCCTTTTGTATGGGGAAATCCAGGTACTGAAAAATCATCAAGTTCTCACCTGCATTTCACTTAGGTACCTTTCACTTGCAGCCAGACTCTCTCTATGCTCCATGCATGGCATGGCTGGTCTGCTCATGCCCCTCCTCACAGCAGTCTGTGCTCCTTGGAGCAGAGGTACTGCTCAAGGATGCGCTGCTGAGGCAAAAAACCCTGTCATTTCAGGCTCCAGAGTCCCGGCTTTCATTTAAAGGCAACAAAACAAGATGCTGGGAAGAATGTTGTTGTTACAATTGTGAAGGAAATCTTTCAATGAGGAAAGCTATCTTAAGAAACTCAGAAATGTCTGCTGGAGCTGAAACAATCATGGAAATTGTCTGCACTGCTGAGCTGACTTGCGGTGGCTTCATTTACATCATTATTGAGTACCATGAGATCAAAATCTGTTTTGAAGGAAAGGCAGTGCCGTATCATGAAAATAAGCACAATGATTTATTTTGTGATCAGCTCTGTTTTTCCCATGGCACTGAAGTTGGGGGTTGGAGGATAGGAGGGCAGGTGGAGCTGAAGGACATGGGAACCCTGCTGAAGGTATTCATACAAATTGCAGCCTTCGATCAAGCTGTGCTATGGGTTTGTTGTATAAGACAGCATAAACATCTTAAAGCAGAAATGTTTGCAGAGGCCACTAATTTGCAGTTCCTGTGATCTAGATGTCTGTTGGAGTACATCTGGACCCAGCTTTGAAGAGGCATGGAACACCTGCAAGTGCAATGAAGGGGTGCAGGCATTTGGAATGAGCAGCGTCACAAAGCTGAAATATCTAGTTCTCCAGTCCTGTCTCTTGCTGTTGGCCCTTTACAGCCATACAATTTTTCTATCTGATTTTTTAAACTATAAAATAATATGGAATATCCTCCTAGCCCCTTCTCCCCTTTCAGATCACATGTATTGCAAAATTTAAGCAATGCCTGTACACTCGGATAGTTCTGCATGCCCCTGGGAGTAAGGGTAAAGGAAGATTTTGCTGGCCAGCTTCGTGTGAGTATTATGCCACAGGGATCAGCACCAAAGGGGAACCGCTACAGAATCAGGCATGTGCATCCTAGGGGCAAATGATGAAGTCTGTCTTCAGCTGAGGTTTCAAGGGCAAGCCACTGCCCATGGTAGAGTACCACTTCTGGTGCAAAGAGCCAGCTCACAGCGGTGCAGACCCCTGTCACAGCCTGTTTTGCAACTGGCAGATGCCCTGGTGCCCACTTCCCTGGCATGCATGGGAGGAACCACGCTATCAAGAAGCGACCTTCTGCATAAACCCTACTTTAAATTGGCCTTAAGGAGGAAGAAGAGAGAAGCTAGCCCTGTTAGCTTGCTCTGTTTAGACCTCAGCTTCTTGCAGAGATAACAGTGTCTGCAGCAATCTTCCAGAGGCCTTCACTTGGAGGCCTTCATCTCTGTTCCAGTAACAATAAACCTTGCTGGCAGACTGACAGCCCAGCAGATATGACTGAGGAATAATACCACATTGCACAATTTGA